TTAGTACCCGTAAACACTAGAGGATCTAATTGAAGAAACTTGTTCACCCTGGAACTAGAAGATTCCCCTGGATGACTGGAAGAAGTAGGCCCAACACTCGATCTCTGGTCCTGAGAAGCCACAATCTGTGTCAACATCTGTATGGCTCCCCTAATATCAACAACAGACACACCATAATCGGAAGCTGGAGCTGGAGGTGGAACTAGAATATCAGTTGGAGGGACCGTTGCACCTTCAACAGGTGTAGGGACAGGTGTGGTCTGATCAATTATGGTAGAATCAGGTAGTGTAGTAACTGGGGGAATATCCTCACCCCTCGGGTGCTCACCCGCATCATCAAATATAGTATCCACTTCCACTCCTGGGGTGACGTTGGCTCTTTGGCCAGTTCTTGCCTTCTTCTTAGGTGTCATGTGCTGAAAATTAGAGCAACTCAGGAGTTAAAGTAGGAACAATCTTACAACTAGCTTTATCGCACGATCAAGAATATGAAAGAAGGGTATCATTCCTAAATGCCCATGTAGCATCCTAATTATAGATGTGGTCGACAACACACCAATAAGAAGGACTCTACTAGACATGGCTCCGAGACATCCTAAGACACTTTAAACCCTTAGGCTCTGATACCAAGTTTGTCACGCCCTAAAACTGAGGAGCGCGATCGGCGCTCAACCGAGTGAACCCGATCGAGCAAGCCTGTTAGATTTTCTTCTACCCAAACTCATCCACGAATGAAGATAATACATATTTTCATTAGTTATACAAAAACATGATCATGTCTCCAATACCAATCTATTACCAATAGTTTTCATTATTTTTAAAGTCTCAAATGGGATAAGTAATACAACCACAAACATAACATAGTTTGTCTTTCCCAGTACCAATACACAACTCACACTATGTCTATGGAGCCTCTATAGATAAAGAAGAGTACAGTGATAATACCGACAACAAGGCACCGACTATACCTCAAACAGAATACACAAAGAACAAAAGATACATGACCTCGGAATGAAGTGGAGCTCACCAAGTCAGCTGGGAAGAAGGTGTGCTGCTATCACTGATCAATACCTCCTGCTGTGGAACCACCTGCATCCATTCAAAGATGTAGCGCCCTGGCAAAAGGAACGTTAGTACCGTCGAATAGTACTAATATGAAAACCAATCACCAATTTAAGAATTTAGAAACACAATATGAATATGATGAATCAGGCCGACAATAGAATAATATAGATAACTGTTTAAACCAGAGCAAGCTTATTAAGAGCTATCAATAACATTTATAGGATCTAAGATGAGATCCTCTATAACCATCTTCACACAAAGTGGCCCCGCCGCCTCACCCGATGTAGGAAGGTGGAGGTGTAAGTACAATACCATAACTCTACTCAAGCGGCCCCGCCGCCTCACCCCAATGTATGCGAGTGGATGTATAACCACAGTACCAAGAACTTACACAAAACGGCTATATCGCCTCACCCCAATATATGCGGGTGAAAATACATCAACGATACCAATATCAATACAATGCGGCTATGCCGCCTCACCCCAATGTTTATATGTGGGTGGTGGTGCCACAACAATACCAAAATTATACACAAAGGGGTCGTACCGTCTCACCCCAATGTATGCGGGTAGAGGTGCAGTCCCACAATATCATTATCCCCACACAAAGCGGTCATGCTGCCTCACCCCAATATATGCGGGTGGAGGTGTATCACAATCACAATCTCTACGCAAGTTGGCATAATAACTTTAACATAAATCACGATTTTAAATTATAACATGTGGATACATAATCCATAGTTTGGGACACATCCTCAATTTATAATGCAATATGATAAGAGCATTTGAAACACGAATTGAATATATATCTTCATCGCGAAACTTATCGGAATACTTGATTTGTAATCAACATCTTGGAACATACAAGAAAAATGGGAATTCCAATTCTTAAAGAAGAGTTTAGCCAACATACCTCACTTGAGCTTCCTTATACTCTAAATGTTCTAGAATTCTTAGCAACTTCAATCTATTTTAGAAATATAACAAATTGAACCAAAATTAGGAAAATGATCATAGTTCTAGCTCATTTGAGCATTTTATCAAACACTAGGTCTGCATAAGGTTTCAAGGTCCTTTTATGGAGGATTCCATCATCCCACAACCCAATCTTTACCATGCTTAGTTCAACAATCTTCCTACACTCCTTGATATCACATGCATGTAAAATAAACAACTCTCATGCCCAAAAATTATCTTGCTGATTACCCATTTTCAGAAAATTTCGAAATTAGGGGTTAGGGTGTAGAATCTTACCTCTAGGATGAAGACCTAGTGAGTTTCCCTTCTTAATCTTCCAAAAGTTGAGCACGAATTGAAGAACAATTATTGAAGAACACCTTCTCACTCTAGGACACCCTCTCTCACTCTAAAATATCATATTTTAGGCCAAAATGACTTGACCCCTCTCTATACCCAACCTTGGGGTTATTTAATGAGTTCCTACGTGCGCGGCCGCGCACCTGGGCAAGTGGCCGCGCATCTGGCCGCGCACCTGAGGCAGAAACTCTCAAATATGCGCGGCCGCGCATTTGGGCGTGCATATGACACAGGTCCAGTAAAATGGTCATAACTTTCTGTATACATATCCAAACGACGAACGGGTTGATGCGTTGGAAACTAGACTCAAAGAGCTTTAATGTGATAGGTATATGACCTCGTAAGTCTTTATGTGGGGAGAGTTATATGCATTTGAAGTCGGTTCTTGTGCCAATTGAATCATCCTTTCTACTTAATGTATCCAACTTGTTCCACACAAGTTCTTGCCATTCACAAAACTCCTTAGTATGTTCCAACACACCTTAAACGTACATTATCATTTCAAAATTATGTGGCTCTATCCCGTAGGTCTCCTTTAATACTCAAATACATTATTCCCAAATACCGTTGGCGCACTTTAAAATATTAAATCATTAGAAAATTTTTACGGGGCGTTACAGGAATGTATAAGATTCAGATAATTTCTTTTGATTAATTGTCCTGTTAAATATTTTTGAAATTGGATAGTTGTCAGTTGGCTTACCTAGCGGGTTGGGTTAGGTGCCATCACGACTAGTGGATTTTGGGTCGTGACACCGCAGGTGTGTGGGTTTGGTCGCAGAAGCGGTTTTGGAACGTTTGGCCATGGACCGCAGATGTGGGTTTTCGAGCGCACCTGCGAACGCACATGTGCGATTGGGGAGGAAGCAGAAGCGGTTCAAGACGCAAGAGCGACACGCTCGCCGCAGAAGCGAAAATCTCGTCCGCAGAAGCGGCCCACACTGGGCTTGAGGACCTCCGCGGAAGCGGACCTAGCACCGCAGGTGCTGTATCGCAAATGCGGCAGGGGCACCACAGGTGCGAAAAACGCTGAAGGTAGAACTTCATTTAAGTCGGGGTTGCGCATTTGGGGTTCATTTATTGCACTTCTTTGGGCGATTTTTGGAGCTCTTAGAGAGGGGTTTTCACCTAACACCTTGAGGTAAGTAATTTCTACACAATGTGAGTTAAATACATAGATTATGGGTAGATTTAACATGTAAAATTTGTAAAATCATGGGTTTAGATGAAAAAAAACCTAGGTGTCATCACGATCTATAGGAGAAATTACTTGGAAATTGGTTAAAAGAAGAAATCACGTAGTAACTTCATCGTAGGCGTGCCTAATGGCGACGTTAGGTGCCATCACGGCCTATAGGAGAAATTGGGTCGTGACACCTAGTGTCCTAACCCGAGTCTTAGCTCCATCCTACATGTCTTTAATCGCCCTAATGTAAGCAACCATCACACCTTTGCCTCGAGGCATCTCCAAAGTACCTCTCTAGGGACCTTGTCAGACATTTTTTTCAAATCAATAAACACCATGTGCAAATCATTCTTCCTATCCCTGTACTATTCCACCAACCTCCTAATAATGTGGATAGCTTTCGTAGTAGAACGACCCGCCATGAACCCGAACTGGTTGTCGGATATAGACACCGTCCTCCTCACCCCCACTTCTATAACCCTCTCCCAAACTTTTATGGTATGACTTAGTAACTTGATACCCCTATAGTTGTTATAACTTTGGATATCACCTTTATTCTTGTATAACGGTATCACCGTACTACACCATTCTTGTACAACGGTATCACCGTACTCCACCTCCACTCATCTGACACTCTCTTCGTCCTGGAAATAATATTAAATTTTCCAGTCAGCCACTCCAAACCTGCTCTACCCACACAATTACCTAGAAGTAGGGCTGTGCATTTGGATCGGAAATCCAAAAATCTGAACCGATCCACTCTATTCGAATTTTCGGATTTCGGATATTTGGATCGGATATGGATTATGTTTTTAAAAAATTCGAATATCCGGATTGGTATAGTTTTAATCCAATCTAACCCGAAATCCGAATTTATATGGACCTATATAAATACTAGACTAAAATTTTAGGGTCAAGTCTTCTTTCTTATTTCATTTTTTAGACTTAGCCACTTAGGTTATATCGATACTTTCTCTCTCTCAATTCTTTGTTCCTTCGATTTCCATTCTCCGTCACGACCAGACAACGCACATCCTTAGTCGATGGTAAGACTGACCCCTTGTCTCTTTCTAACATGGTTGTTAATTATTATTGGTTCCATGGTTGGAAGATTCCTCTTTCTTAGAGCTTAAAGGTGGTGTTTTTTATTTTTTATATAAGTATTTTCAGAACCTACACCAGAAAGGTTGACACAGTGATAAGCCTTAATAATACGTACAATCTCATCTGAAAATACAAAATATTTATTCGATCCAAACTTTAAAATTTAATCCAATTCAATGTCAATTCAGATTAGATTCGGATTGTATTTTATAGAATTCGATATCCGAACTTTCAATTCGAAATATACTAAATCCGATCCTCCTAGAAGACTACTATTCTATGCTGCCCTGCTCCAAATAGGCTTGCTCGGAGGCCAAGCACGCGTGGACGCTTTGTCAGTATAACTATTGACAATCTGGCTCATCCGAGCACCAACAGGTAGTCTCCTCACTGACAAGTAGTAGTAGTTATTCAAGTGGTTCCTTTTTTAGCTCCCTGCCTATAATCCTCAAACAGCACCTTTGAGGTTAGCGAGGATGTCACAGTTTTGTTGTTTATCCACAAATGGATATCCATAAAGATTCTTCAGTATGCTTCGAATTTCAGCAATTCCCCCAACTCAAACCAAGACTTGTGAGTCTGACTAGAGCGCGTGACACTGCCAGATATCCCCTTATAGCCCTAGCCAGCTCAGCTGGTCACCACCCTACAGTCTGACACGTGTACAACAGCCTTTCTGTCAAGAAAAAATCCAACATTTTGGAAACATAACCGTAAAGACATCAGTCTGCACCTCACTACACACCTCTTTTAAATCCAAGTTGCCTCTCGGCGGTTGTGGCAGGCACCAATTTTACAAAGAAGACACCCCCACAACCCCTTTTCACCATTTCACTTGCAGATCTTAGTTTTTTCTCTCTTGCTTGTGTTTTTTTGGATGGTGGTAAGGCGGATTTTTTAAGGATGAAGATTCAGTGTAACGTGTGTGAGTCAGCAGAGGCGAGGGTTTTGTGCTGTGCGGACGAGGCAGCTCTTTGTTGGTCATGTGATGATAAAGTTCATGCTGCAAATAAACTTGCTAGTAAGCACCAGAGAGTGCCTCTTTCTGCTTCATCTTCACCCATGCCCAAGTGTGACATCTGCCAGGTAAAATTGACTTTTATTTATCTATTGCTAGTTTCTATATTAAGTTTGTTGAGTTTGTATAGTCTGAGGTGTTTGTTCGATGTATTTCCTCGAGTGTACAGTTGCTGTATCTGTTGTTTGTTTTTTGTTCTGCCTGCTAGCATAATTCGATCAAAGGAAAAGACATGATCTTTGTCTTGTTTTTACAAATATATGCACTATAGAGTAGTAAGTTGTGAAATCCCATATCTTTTTCTTTTTGGGGTGGTGGGGGTGATAAGTAGATAAGTAGTACTCCCTCCGTTACAATTATGTGAACTTGTTTGATTGGGCACGGAGTTTAAGAAAAGAATAAAGACTTTTGAAATTTGTGGTCCTACACAAATTAAAAGGGGGCCAGAGTATTTGTGTGGTTATAAAAGCTTCTCATTAAGGGTAGAATTATAAGTTTAAGCTAAATTGTTTTTAAATTTAGAAAGGGGTCGTTCTTTTTAGAACGGACAAAAAAAGAAATATGTTCGCATAAACTAGAACGGAGCGAGTATTTTTTATTTATCTGTATGTTTTATGACAAGAGAGGACTACGCACATTCGGTTAGTTAATATAGTATTTACGTTTGACTTAAATTCTGGCTGCTGCAATACCGCTCTCTCTTTTTTCTTCGTTTATTAGTTACCTTCAACATTGTACCTTTGACCTTTGCAACATGCTGGGAATTTTTGGAGTATTGTTGAATGCTTTTTATGCATTGACAAAGATGCCTTTAAATTTAATACTTACACATACTTAATGAATTTTTGGAGTCAGGATTTCAACTTCATAGTTCTGGATTTTAGAACAACATAGAGTGCTAATAGCTAAGTTTTAAATTTAATACTTACACATATTTAATGAATTTTTTAACACAGATATACTCTTTTGAGAAGAAGCTATCGGGTTCGGCCAAACCTGGCGACTTGATATAGTGTTCCTTTTCATTATTCCGCCTTTCCATTTCGAGTAACAGAGGAAGGCAGAAGGTGTCTGATTCTTAATGATGGAGCCCTTATTTTTAGGGGCTGGCATCGTAGAGCATCACCCTCATGCTCGTGACTTTCATTCAGACAGTGTAAGGATGGTTAGCAGCCAAGATCAAGGGGATTATTATAGCTTTTTAGTGAGCATTAATTGTAGGTGAAAGCAAGTTATGGAACTTTTCCTGATAGCCAGAGACGTGGCAAGGCACATGGTGTTGCGCCAAAGCAGTTATATTTTATCAGATCTATTAGAGTAGTTCCATCCACCTATGAAAATCTTCTTCACTTCTACATGTCATGATGGTAATTCACAAAATGAAACAAAAAATATATGTATATGCTTCAGCATCATTGAGCTTGTACACAATTCATGCCTATTTCCTAAAGAAACTCCACTTTTATACTGATAGTAAGAGATGCTATTTTGTACAGGAAACTGTTGGCTATTTCTTTTGCCTTGAGGATCGGGCTTTGCTCTGCCGAAAATGTGACATTTATATTCACACAGCAAATGCTTATGTCTCGGCTCACCAGAGATTTTTGCTGACCGGAGTCAAAGTGGGACTTGAACCTATCAATCCTGCTGCATCAGCATCCTCAGGGAAGTCACATTCTGTCCAGAAGGTGTTGGAGCCAGAATCTCCTCCGATTTCTAAGAGAACTGCACCCATGTCATCAAATGCTCCGTGTAATGACGTATTGCCTGTCCAGGCTAGTGGGGTTGAGGATTTTGCACGTAGTAGTCTTTCATTGGTTGGAGGTTCTACGGCTGGAATCATTCCACAATGGCAGTTTGATGAATTTCTTGGAATGGGTGATTTCAATCAGAACTACGGATACATGGATTATGGATCATCTAAGGTATGATTTATGTCTTATCCCTTTTCCTCATCTTTTGGTAAGAAGGGTTTTAGTTCTTTTTATCTTTGAATTTATTGTACACGATGGTATTGCGTCTATCTTCATCCAAATGTAGAGTTACGCACTGTGTATGCCAGCGGATACACGTACAGGTCTCTTGCTGGAGTATGGCCTGTATGCCTTTGTTATGTGCATGTAATTTTGTATACATGTAGTATTAAGGCATTTGCGCGGTGTTCGTTTCCATATGGATATGTGGAAGCTTCTGATTGAGCTTTGTTGGCGTGGCATTCATGCTTCAGTCATGTGCACTCTTGGGTTTAGTTGTATGTACATTATCTGCCTTAATAACTATTTGACTTACTGCAAGGAATTCATTTTGATATGGAGACAAGGAAGCATCTGATGGCAAGTTTCTGGTAACACAATCTATTGGTTCCACTAGCTAAAGTTGAATAGAGCTAAACCTTACGCGGAAGGTGTGAACCTCCCATATAAATCTTGGAGTGGGAAAGGCAGGTCTAGGTACAGTCTTATGCCAACTGCGTCAGTCACCAAGTCCAGACGGACCAAGATCATAGACTTTGTGATTGAAAATGCTGTCTTGGTGGATGACTGTGTCACTTTGGCAAACTCTCAGGTGGTGGGAGTTCTAACTCTTGAGAAGTATCGAGATGAGAGATGAAGAGTAATGAAGAGTCGGAGACTTCTGGTTACAGCTAATGGGAAAATATGTGTAGCTGTCAAAGAATTGTCCCTATGTGATTAGTATTTATCTTGTATCTGTATTTATATCTGTGGTGGCATATTGGCGGATGTAGCTTACTTAAGGTGAAAATTGAGTTTCACTTTACCATCACGTGGCGAGGATAAGGTGGGTCAAACTGAGAGAGTTGGAAAGCACTATCGTGTATCGTATTTGTTTTTTCACCTATCTCTACTTTCCTGTAGAGTTGCCACTTTGATGACAGCCCGTAGTGTAGATTCACTATCATGCTTGTATAAGTTACATAGTCTTTTCAATGGGCTATCAATATATTTTACCGCAGTAGACAGATTTCAATGTGGTACCTAATTTTAGTTTTTCCATTCCTTGAAATCTATCAGGCTGACAGTGGAAAGGTTGGAGAATCAGATAGCTCCCCAATCTTAAGAGATGCTGAAGTTGAAGGTGATAAGTGCTTTAGTGAGGTGCCGGAGACATGTTGGGCTGTGCCACAAATTCCTTCACCGCCTACAGCTTCTGGACTTTACTGGCCGACAAAAACTCTCCAGAATCCATTTGATTGTGCAGTGTTCGAGTCTGACGTTAGTTACTCCCCTTTGCAGAACTTTCAACTTCAACAATCAAATGGTTCTGGTTTCAAAAGGAGAAGGGCCTTTTAGCGCATTCTCCCAAAGTTTCTACATTAGGTAGTGAATAAAATGTTTGAGCCACTGATCATGTTAGAATATAGCGTCAAGTCGTAGTTTATGTTTTGTTTGAGCAAGTGTCTACTTCCTGGTTCAAGTTGTCTTCTTCGCGAGGCTGGTGGTATAAATGATTCTGATTACTGCTGAACATATGGGTTTAGCTCAACGCCCCAGCGGTCGTGCAAAGAATCATGTTATAGAAAATACCAGTGGATTCTTCAGGGTATTTGGAAACCAGCAAAGTCAGTTGTTCTCCTCATCTTCAAACTTGTCCTTGGATGGAAGGAAGTTTTTGCTCAGACTTACGGCTATACGAAGTGGCCGTGGTGGATGTATTGCCCAGTTTTTTGCTACCGCTTGACTTGGTGGAGTTAGTCAAGTTTTGATGCTTGCAGTAGCTAAATTGGTGTACGATGCATCGTTCAAATATTAACAAGTTCTGGATCTCGAGTTTAGCCGCAGAAGAATAGCTTCATAGTTCTAGTTACAGAATGATGTTATGGCTAACAGTTGTTTGTGGCCACTTGTAGCTATATATAATAGATAATGATCAGCTTATGAATGGATATCTGTTATTGCTTCATTTTCCTCCATTGCATTTTTATTCCTTTCTCCTTTAGCTTAGATTATTAGTAGTTACAAGTAGTGTGAACGTGAATTTTCTCCTGGTCATTAAGGATGGTGTTGTTTACAGCAATTCTTAGTGTGTTTAAAGCGAAACAGTGAGGTATGTTTCACAGGTTTTGATATTCAGTTTATCAGATCAGTTATCATCTGATCTTTGTGGGATCATTGATATGACATCACTGTTTACCCGAAAAATAAATAGAGTTGAATTTATTCGTAGTTTTAAGGATATGTGATATAGCTCCATACAAATTATAAGGATAAAAAGAAAATATCAAATATAGACAGCAGAGAAGACTAAATAAACAAAGTTGTAACAAAGCGATTTTTGGGACCAAGCGAAATGAATTAGTTTATGAGGCTTAAAAGAATAACTCTCGAATATAAGAGAATATGGTGCTTGAATTACAATGTGAAGTTTCCAAAAAACTGTCCTTCCAGAAATGATAAAACTTCTCCTTATAATAGAGGGACTTTACTTTAAATATAATTAAAAAATACTCAGTGGGGGATCCATGATAAATCGGTTTTTCCACAATTCCTGCCAAGATTCTCTCATCTAGTGGGATTGCAACGGCTTTTGTCCGTGAGTCCGATCTAACCCGGGCTCTTGATCTCGGCTTGAGCCCAATTCTAACTCGAGCTCTTGATCTTTGGCTTAAGCTTGATTCTGACTCGAACCCTTGAACTAATCCGGGGTCAATGTTTAAGCTTGATAGCTTTACTCTACATCATAGTTCGATTTAGATTCGAGCTCGATAACAATATCGAACTCGACGTTGGTCGGCCCCTCGGGTTCGATGCTTGTTTGTTCCCTCTTCGGGACCCATCTCGAAATCTCACTTGAATCGATTATTATTCAAACTCGATCGGACGTGCGCATGCCGAAATCTATTTCGACCGTATACAGATAGTCCCCTCGTTTCTCAGAAAAAATGTGGTGAGAAACGATATGATCTTTTAACGGCTCGATCGGATTATAACCTGACGTTTCCATCAGGCTCGATCATGACGTATGTGATAGCTGTTCCGTCGGTTTAGTCTTTCAAGGCATATAATGTATGTCAGATGGCGGTCGACCACCGCTGATACTGAACCGCCATCGCTTAAACCTATAAATAACGCTTCCTCTTATCATTTACCACTTTTATATCTTCAATCTTCCAAATTTTTCAAGTCCCTTTCCGTATTCTCTGACTTACCCGTAAATCTATGGTTTCTCTTTGCAAAAGCCCCTCTTCAATTCTACCAAATCTTTTTCACTTTCTTCTATTCCGCACCTTTGAATTCGAAAATGGCGAAAACATCACAAACCATTCCTCAGAAAGAGAAGGCTTCATCTTCACAGTGTGTCGCCGATGAGGCAACGGCAAAACCACGGCCTGAGGAGTGCGTTCCTGGGGCGTGTGTTCTGGGGCGTGTGTTCTTACTTCTGATTTTAAGGTCGATAAAGGCTCATCGGTCCCTGGCCGATGTGAGCCAGTATCGAGGTACACATGTTCGATAACCGAGAAGCACCTCAAGCAGCTAAAGAAAGATTGCCATTGGGATAAAAAAGAAATAATAATTCCTACTTCTGACGAAGATATTACTTCTTACATGAAAGGGTTTTTGAATGTGTATACTTACCCTTTCACGTTAGGTCCCCTCGATTCCGTTATTATTGACTTCTGTCGTCAATACCAAATAACCCTAGGCCAGGTCCATCCTTCTTTTTGGCGGATCGTTATCCTGATCCGATACTTTGTGAGCAAAATCGAGGGGATGTCGTTCACCCTCGACCATCTTATCCGATTGTACGTCCTCAACTTTTTCGAGAAGGGTTAATAAAACTTCAGTGTCGGGCTACCAAGGCTCTGTTCTCGAGCATTGATGAGGACAGAGATCGGGGCTGGATGTGCAGGTTCGTTCGAGTGAGGACTTCGGACCTGATTCCGACCGAAAAGATGCCCTTTCCCGAGGAGTGGAATATGAAACGTAAGTGTGATCCTGCTGTTCCTTCTATTTTGTTCTTTCATTTCTTTTCTCATCGACACTCTTCTTTTTGTGATGTATTGGTTCCCTGGATGCTCGGAGCAGTTCCAGATCTAAAGAACTGGGTACGAGCTCTTGTTTCGACCTCCACATACGCCGAGCGTTCATGGCGTGATTTGTCAAAGGGTCGGTGGGAGGCCAAAAATCATGGTAAGCCCCTTTCTCATATTCTTTGATAATTCGAACGAGGCGGTTTCTAAATATTTTAATAAAATTTTCCATATGCAGGTTTGGGAAAAGATGCGGTTTTGAGGCCCTTGTCCAACGAGGAAGAAACTTTGGCCTCTGTCCCAAAGCCGGTGAAGGGAAATAAAAGGAAAAGAGCCTCTGTTCCCGAAGATCAAAAATCGAAGAAGAGGACGGCTCGTAAGCCGAACAAGAATGTCATTCCTTTGACCGTGGAATCAGTTCTACGTCCAAGGGATGGAGAAGAAGAAGAAAACGATGGGTCCGCGTTGGCGGCCCGAACGAAGAGAACCACCGATGCCCCATCGGCAGAAGGATCGATAATGCTTCATGAGGCTCCGCCTCGAACTGAGTATATACCAGAGAAAGATTCGGGCGGAATCCCTGAATTATCGGAGATCGAAGACGCATCTCATCGGAGCCGACAGATGGGGGATATGTCTGAAAAGGCCCTTGAATCCCTTCAAATCGAAGAGAATGCTCCAAGTGATTCATTTGGGGTAGCAGCAATCGAAGATTCGCTCACCTTTCCCGCTTTTTTCGTAGGGGTGATTCGGGAAGCCCAAGCCTTGGGGGCCCTCGATCTAGACAGGCCTCACGATGGAGAGGATCCTTTTCGTGGCCTGTTTACCGGTATCGAGGACGTTGCCGGTACTGGCGATGAATCGAATCGTTTTCACGGGGTGTGGTAGGCTTTGAATCAGGTAAGCATTAAAATTATTTTGTCGGTACTACCTTCATGTTTACTTTTCGTTAACTTCGTTCCTTGTTTGTTTTGTAGGCAGCAGCAGTTCATCGAGAAGCATGTTCTCGGTCCCAAAGCGAGCTGCGTCGATACGAGGCCGACCTTCAACGGGTTACTAATGAGAGGAACTCCCTAACTTCTCTTAGGGCAGAGAGAATAGGAAATAAAAGACCTCCGAGCTGAGTTGTCCAAGGCTTATCGAGATCAGACCGATTTGTCTGAGCATGTAATGATACTTTTAAAAGCCTATGAGCTTGATATCGGAACGATGGCTAATTTTTTGGTCTCTCGGTTGCAGCAAAAAAAATGAGATGATCGGGAAGCTTCGTGAGGAGGTCGATGTGATAAAAGCGGAGTCTTTGCAATGGAAAATAGGTATGGACCGCTTTGCTGCATAGAAAGAAACTGCTCGAGCTCAGTTATCATCAGCCGAAACCCAACTTCAGAGAATGAAGGAAAAAGTCCTGGTTCAAGCAAGAAGAATAGAGGAGCTCGAGGCTCGGTTGGCCTCTGTACTTGCCAAGGCCGAATCTGATGCCGAAAAGGCAAAGGTCGATGCAGATGCATTTGTGGCCGTCTATCGGGCCGATGCTGAAGCTGCCCAGGTCCAAGCAAGAGAGGCAGCCGAGACCGCCGATACTTGAGCACATCGGGTCGCCGAACTTGCTAAGTGTCGGTCTCGGAGGGAAACCCTCGAGGAGATCCATGCTTGTGGTTTCGATCTTGCTGAAGAGATAAAAAGGGCCAAAGAACTCGAAGCCGATGCTGAAGCCCTGGTTTCCGATGACGATGATGATGACAATGATGGGAGTAAGAGCGGATCCGAGGACCGGGGGGGGGGCTCCGATAGAGAAGAGACCGCTCCTGATGATGACCAGGAAGCTTAGTCTTTAATTTTTACGTTGTAATCAATCATGTAGACAATTTGTATATAGACAATTTTGCCGACTTGCTTTCGTTTTGTGAAGACTTTATTCACGCCTAATGAATGTTTTCACAAGGATTTAAACAACTTAATAAAATTTGGACTTCGTAGCTTCTCTAATCGGGCGAGTGCTTATTCAAACTTGAAGTGATGTAGCCCTAAGGCTTATTAGTTGAGTCAATGATTCGAGCTCGAAGAAATATAGCCCATATGCGTAATGGTCGAGTGAGTGCTTGCTCGAACTCGAAATAAAAGTAGCCCGTAGGCTTAGTAGTCGAGTGAATGATTCGAACTCGAAATAATGTAGCTCGTAGGCGTAATGGTCCAGTGAGTGCTTGCTCGAACTCGAAATAAAAGTAGCCCGTAGGCTTAGTAGTCGAGTGAATGATTCGAAATCGAAGTAATGTAGCTCGTAGGCGTAATGGTCGAGTGAGTGCTTGCTTGAACTCGAAATAAAAGTAGCCTGTAGGCTTAGCAGTCGAGTGAATGATTCGAAATCGAAGTAATGTAGCCCGTAGGCGTAATGGTTGAGTGAGTGTTCGAACTCAAAATAAAAGTAGCTCGTAGGTTTAGCAGTCGAGTGAATGATTCGAACTCGAAGTAATGTAGCCCGTAGGCGTAATGGTCGAGTGAGTGCTTGCTCGAACTCGAAATAAAAGTAGCCCGTAGGCTTAGCAGTCGAGCGAATGATTCGGACTCGAAGTAATGTAGACCGTAGGCGTAATGGTCGAGTGAGTGCTTGCTCGAACTCGAAATAAAAGTAGCCCGTAGGCTTAGCAGTCGAGCGAATGATTCGGACTCGAAGTAATGTAGACCGTAGGCGTAATGGTCGAGTGAGTGCTTGATCGAACTCGAAATAAAAGTAGCCCGTAGTCTTAGTGCTCGAGTTTATCTTAATTCTGTTTGCATAATAAATCTCCAAATAGAGGAATGTTTCTTGGATATAAGATGTTAGCAAAGAGGAGAACTTTCTTAGCCCGTAGTCTTAAGGCTTCGTATTGAAGGATCCATCTTAGCTCATGTTCGGACTTCTGCAGGGGTCAGTTTTGAAATGTAAATGAATATGGGAA